TCCACCCCACCCCCCACCCCCTATCTGCCCCTGTTTCCATCTCCTCTCCCTACTTCAAGTGCAGATTTAAAAAGTGCATTTTGCTCCTTGTTCCTATCATGTTACTCTCAGACAAATTTCATTATAAGTAATTTTATAGAATTTTGCAAGTGAAACCCCCTCCCAGCTCCCAACCAAAAATTGGAATCAGCAGCTGTTTAATGTTTACACTCACAAACTTTGGATAAATTTACAATTTGCAAAATATAGTTGTTGAAGTTCTTTATAAAAATACATGCAAGTCCAGATTTTTCTTATATCATTTTTTTTTGGTGCTGTATTTGCTTCTAAAGAGGATTCCCCATTATGCACATAAAGACAAAAAATATTTGATAAATGAAGATATGTTTTAGTCAACACTCCAAACAGCAAAAATGCGAAATATCTAGAAGAAGCAAAAATTAGATTCTTTAAAAAAATCTTTTGTACATTTGCTATACATTTTAATTGCTCATTTTATACTAGAATGATATTTCTTTTGTTTCAGAGAGTGCTGGTGCTGTCATTCATTATACAATAAATGGGTCCAAACCGGATCCGTTTCAGCGCATTGGTGATCGATGTACCATGAAATATCATGGGCCATTCACCCTCCCTGCTGGAAAACAGACAGTGAAAGCCCTTGCCTTAGCAAAGTAAGAGAAATAATTTTTTTTTTAATTTGTTGATTACTGGCATGAGAGGCCGACAGGTCAGTGAGATACAAGAATCACAATATTTTCAAGCATGTGTTGGTGACACGTACAGTTTGAAAACACAATGAATATGTTGCAAGGAGTTCCTGAGTCCTTGCTTGTGACGGCCAAAGGGAGTAAAGCCGAATAACCGCTACACATGGGGAAACCTACAAAATAACATGCATGGGTGTTTGGCAGGTGCTCTGGTGTGGTTTGCTTCTTCTTTCCTATCAAACATCTATCGTCTTTATCTCCCTTCCTTCTTTTTTGTGTTTGTTACTCTCTAGTAACTCCTCTAATCTTCGGCACTTATATAACCTTATTGTGTTGCAAGTGCTGTAAAACCCTTAAAATCACTAATACTAAAATAACATGCTTGAGTATGTCATATTTTTGTCTGTTTATAGTTGTTTATGTAGATCTATATATAATATATGTTTCCAAATATTCACTCAATCTATGCCTGATTTGTACAGAGATGGCCTTCGAGAGAGCAATATCGTGACCAAAATATTTGAGGTGGAATATGCTCCTCCCCCTTCAATGCCTGTCGAGGATGATGACCTTGGTTTTCAGGATGACCTTGACAGATCAAGAGCAAGGGTAAAAAAATGTTTGTCTGTGTTCGTTGTCAAGTACAGTTTATTCAGGGAATGTTATTCATTTAGTCTGGTTTTTGTAATAGTGTTTTTGCTTTTTATTTTTTATTTTGCAGCTTTTTGTTACGGAATAAATAATAGAATTTTTTGTTTAGTACAAAATCCCTGCCCCCGCCCCCCTCCATCCCTTTCCCCAAATAATTATTTTGAATATTATATGCCCCATTGAGATCATACAGGAGGTGGGTTGCTTTGCCTCTGAATATCAGAGCCAATGAGTGAATTACAACATTCCTTCAGAAAGAGGGAAATACCGAGTAAAGTAGACTTCCCAGCAAAAGAATCGAAATCTGATCTTTTTGCTTGCAACATCGAAGAGCATAAATAATGTAATGCAGACCCTGGTCCAAACTCAGCCTCTGAATCTGTTTATCTTTCACGGCATCACTTTTCGCCCGATTCTGTTACTTTTAGTTCGCGTGACTCAGCAGCCCGCCGGAGCTCCCCGGCTCGGGGTCATGGGGTTAATGAGCCCTGAGGCGACTTTGCCGGTGTCGGTTAGGAAGTTCGCATTTTTGACTGTGTTTAAAACGATATAACTTCTTCCCCACATAGCAAACCATTACGCGGATGTACTAAAAGCTCAATGTCTAGAGATTTATTCTGCGTTAGAACGGTTAATTTCTGTGCCTTAGTTTTTGTTCTAGACAAGTGTTTGTAGAGTACCCAATTTGTCCTATTCTAGTTACAAACTTATGAATAAATGATTGTTAATTTAAAAAAGGCACGACAGATCTCTCCAAAATCTGTGTTAACTCTTTGACTACCAAGGGGTTTTCCGCGCTGTGACCAAGGCATTTCTTAGTCTTAGAATTTCAGAAGTACCCCTGTTCTTCTTTTGTGTCTGATGGGCATAATTCCATCGGGAAGTCAGACATGTTATATACCAAAATGAAGGTAATTGAATGTAGAATATTTTTAATCTAATAAAAAAAATTGAAAAAAATCATAAATCCAAACAAACATGGGGGGTAAGTGAACACAAGGTGAAAAAAATAAAAAAATAAACAAAATATTTCCAACTTACATTTCTCACAGTGTATAGCTGCTAAATCCAATCACTTCATGACTTAGTCATACTGAAGTATATCCAATTGTCTCTAACTGGGCCAAGTTTCATGCACAATGGTCAAGTATATACAAAGTTGTTGCACTTTTGGTGAAATCACTCACAATGAAAAAAAGAGAAAAAAACGCTGCACACAAGCCCTTCTTTGCGAATCTTCAATCTCATCGCTGTCGCTGCTGTCCGACTCAGGTCTAACTTCATCACCTCCTACATCACTATCGGAAAGTACTGACAGTTCCCCATCAAACTTTTCTAGGGCTTTTGAAGCAGAAAAACGTTGTGACGGGGGGGGGAAACCTGATGGGTTATCAGCCATTTTTCCGTTGCTATGCGTGTAAATTAATTCGAGCAACATAGGGCGGGTCAAAAAAACAAGAAAAAATGCCCAAAAAACAGCAGAAAAAAAGACAAAAGGCGCTAAATTCCTTCACTGGTTGACTGATGTATGGTAAGCACAGCAGTTAAAAACATGAAACGAAAAGGTTGAGTCAAATTGTGGAAGGGAAAGGGAAAGAAAAGCGTGAGCCGATAATTCGGCTTTTGGCCACGAACTAGGTGGTTATGGAGCCGATAAATCGGCCCATGGTAGTCAAAGAGTTAAACTGACTACGAATATCATGTCTTTTACCATGAGAAATCTTAAATCTGCGTTAGTAGAAATAGTCAAGTTATAAGAGGATAAAGATGCAC